AAACATTATACTAAATAAAATGAATCAGAATATACTTTTAAAATGCATTCCATGATTAATTGTTTGATGAATTTTTTTCAGTCATGAATTCAACTTAAATAGCACCAAAATGTATCTGTCATTTATAAATTTATAAATAACTTTCAGAGACAAATAAACCTACTGCTAAAATTGATTACCTTAAAATTTCTGATTAATACATAGATGAAGAAAATGCTAAGAATTTCTATACAGCTTTATAAATAAAATGAAGAAATATGATTTTACATATATATATATATATATACACATTTATGATGACCTTCTTGATAGAAGCTGGTTTATTTCTTTTATATTTATTTGTTTACACAGATGGAAAAAATTATCCGAGGTGTAACTTTCATTTTATGATGACATCATTTGTATGAAGAAACAAAATTGTATAAACTTTTTTGAAAAAAGAATGTGCTCTATTGCTTTGAAGGGAACTTTTGCCAAAATGATCAATTACTAATGATGTCTTCACCTCTTTAATTATCTCTGTGGGTTAGATGTCACACTTTTGTGTATGTTTGTTAAATTTGGACTAACCAACATTATTTTTTTAATTTTATAATTGTGAAAGGTTAGGAATGGAAGAGATCCTAAAAACAAAGTTCAAACTCTGTGTTTTACAGACAGGTTAGAAGTTAAGAAAGACAATGTTCCTAGAGAAGGGCTAGCCCCATCCTAGCACTTTAAACTTCCCACAGATCAGCATTTCTCCAGTGTGCCGTCTTTTCAGTGGATTCACCTGGTCCTTGGAGCAGCTTTTCTGTTCCATATAGGAACAGGCTAACCACTGAGATTCCTAAATAAAGTAATTGAGATAGAGAAATTTTCATTTTGGGTGCATATAATAAATTCACTTAAATAAGTGGCCCGGTCATTGCTTTATTGGGCTTAAAATATTATACAAATTACATTACTCAAAATAGAACTATTTTATCAACATTTGGTAATGCTAACATGGGTGACATTGGCTAAATTAAATATGAATTCTTTTATATCAGTAATTTTACATTGGCAACATTATGTTTTTGGCTTTGGTATTCAGATATGCACATATATTTCTGTGCTTTTGTGTGTTCGCTCTGTGTGAAAATGTACACACCATAATTATTTTATAAAACTCTCCAAAGAGCTCTAAAATTTATTCATAAAAAGAATAACTATATATTATGGAATCTAAAGGCTTCTCTAGTCAATTAATATAATCATACACAATTCATAATCTAATTGATGTGATCTTTTGAATTTTGAATATTACTGATTTATACAAAAATTCAAAAAGTATTTGTATAAATGTGTCTCTGGATACACTTCAACAATGACAAAAAAATAAATAAAATAAAAGGCAGGTACATCATTTCTTTCTCTATTTCTCCGTTACATGGAGTACACATTCTTCTTATTGTGAATTTATAAGTATTTCTATTCATTGTATTATCATTTAGATACATATGAATAGAAAAGTATCATAATTTCTCTTAGGAATCAGAATGAATACATTTTAAACATCTTAAGTATCTTGTACTTTTAAACTAGTTTCTAATAATTTAAAAAATTAACATGTAGGTTACGTTAAGTATATGGTATAAAAGATAGGACAATTATAAAATATTTTTAATTAAAATAAATTTTTATGATTTGAAAAGATACTTTAATGTAGATGAATATACATTATTTTCTTTTATCATGACTTTATGTAAGACATGCTATACTAAACCAATAATGCTAATCTGTGTCTTTATTTCATAACCATACTAGTTTATGAAGATAAATGTATATTCAAATTTTCTGCTACAACAGAAATATCTAAATGACTTTGTTGAGAACAGAATGTATATTCTGAGGATACATCTATGATTTAAAACACAAAAGTGATCAATTTTGGTGTTTAATACTAAATTACATATATTTTCAGCTAGTAGAATTATAAGTTCACAAAACATTTGAAAAAATGATCAGTAAGGATATTCTCTTGGTAGAATTAATTATTAATTAATTATTAATTTGGTTTATTAGCTTGGTATTTTTAAAATTTAATTAGCATAATATAAATTGATTTTTAAAATTGTGAAAACGAGTTAACTGACATTATCTTTAAATCGTTAATTTAAATGCTCTATGTTAATTTACTAATATCTTATTTTAAAAAATCTATCCTTAATAAAGGGCCTTAATATGCTATACCACTTGGAACCATATTGAAGCACATTGTTACTGTCTTTAGGACCCAATCTACAAAAATTCATATCCCATGTTTTACAGTTAACCAATCTATAATAATTTTTATAGATTAAAAAAATAGAGTCAATAGTTCTAATGTATAGCCAAGAAATAGTATTTGGTTTAAATTGATTACCCAAGTAAATCTAATGAAAGTACTATCTTCAGACTTTTCAACAAATATATAAGCTGTAAGTATATTTATGTTTATGACTTTACATTTCTAGAATGCATACATTTATTTTTTTACATTTTCAGTAAAATTCTTAACTCATGGAGAGATGTACCAAAATGTCCATAAATATCAGACCCTATTGGCCCCAAATTTAATGATGTTGTTACTTAATTTTTCAGTTTTCTTAGTGATCTAGTCCTCTTGTACATTACCCAACTACAGGACACAATCTTTGAAGGAGGATAGAGAACAATCTGAAAACATACAGCTTTTTAGTATCAAGAATGAGACTCTAAAAGAATAGGATGAGAACAGGGTAGATTAGATTGATTGGGAAGTACAGATAGTCTGCCCTATAGGATGATCAGGTAGTTTGAAGAAAAGCCAGCAAACTGCTAAGGTGACTCTCAGAGTTTTAACATCTTGTTCACCTTCTGACAAACTGGAAACCACTTCAACTGTACAACACACATTTCTTACCCTGGTTTCAACTCTAACCTAACTTTTAAAGAAATAATATTTGTCAAAATATTTTTTGTTATAAAAGTCATGTAGCTTTCTTGGGAAAAATATAAATGTTAGAGGGGGAAAATAAAATATCTGCAATTCATCTAGTCATAACATTTGAACTTGTTTACACATATATTCACAATACATGTGTATGTTTGTATGTGTGCATGTCTTAAATGAAGAACCTGCAAATGATAATTGTACAGATTTATAAATTCACATATTGAGCACACCTATGTATCTACTACATATTCTAAGAAACACAAATTAATCAGAACTCCAGAAGCCCAGACTTTTGATTATACTAGTCCTTATTCTATCTTCTTCTCCAAGGACCCCTGTCTTGACTTCTTCCACCATGTAGAGATTATTCCTGGTTTTGAAATTTATATAAATGGAATTATATAATTTAAATGGAGTATATAGTTTATATTCAGTCTTCTCTGACTTTTTTCATTTCACTTTATTTCCATAAAATTTATCCAAATGATTACTCAAAGTAGTTTATTCATACTTACTACCATGTATTATGACATTGATTGAATAAAACTTACTATATAAACATTTATTATTGATGGAATTTTGGGTAGTTTCCAGATTTTGTATCTATAATGCTGTTCTGACCATCTTTATATGTGTCTTTAAATAAAATTTTTATTGAATTTTAAATATGTATAAATCATAAAGAGTAGCTATATGAATTTTTAATGGATATGCCCATGGACATACAAGATAAAGAAATAATCCATTACTAAACTTCCCTGCTATGCCCGGTGATTTTTTAATAACTGCTGAACATTTTATATGTTATAAATATAGAGGTTCAGAATAAACCATGTTGCTAAAAAGAGATCTTTCTTTGGCTTCTTTTAAAATAGAGACAGCTCAGCTTAGTCTATTCAGAGCTTGATATGAGGTATAAGTCTCACTGAGGCCTGATATAATCATCATATAATCATCATGCATCAGAACTTCAGTGATATTGACAAAAAGCATCAAATATTTATCATTACCACTCTTCTTGGCAGCAAGAAAATCCAGTTTTTGACCCCTCAGCCCATGGCTACTACAAATCCTCTTCAGATGCATTCACCTTTAGTTGTTTTATCTATACTCAGCTTTTTAGTCTAGCTTTATATCAGTTACAGATTGGTAGAAATTGTGTCTGTAGTTTTTAAACAAAAGATGAACAAATCTCTGATGACTGTTTTACCTGCTTTTTCTCCCTACATTTTGTTTATATGTTATTAAATATTTTATACTGCAGCATAATGGACTCTTGACTTTTTAATTTAGAGTTTGTCCTTAGCCTTCTGTGAACTACCCCACACTATGGTAGAGATAGGTAGAGGCCAAGTGCTGAACTCAGGATTTGATTAGACAGCAGTTTCCAGCTCAAGCCACACATGACAAAGTAAACTTGATTGTGCCCAAGTCATTGACCAACATAATATTTTGTGGTTGTAAGGTGAAACATTTACCTTTAAACTAGGTAGCACATACTAATCCTCACCTTCCCATAGGCTATATGATTATAGAGGAATAATTCCACAACAAGTACATGGTACTCAAATTCTTGATTTAGATATAAATCATGACAATAACTAAGGTGATATATAGTAATAGTATTAGCATGCTTGAGAATATCTCCTTGTATACCACTTTATTTTATAATGTCTTAGGTTTTATTTTTAAACAGTGAAAATTATGTGATTAAAACCATAGGAATGGTACTTTCAGGGATAAAGAGCTACATATGTGTATATATACTTGCCACTCATAAAATGTGAACAAGATAAAGGTAAAATCATTTCCTGAAAAGTAAGCCTTCAGGAAATACTTGACATTTTCAAGATGTTTGCCCTTTAATATCATCATTTGCTTTTTCCATCAGTTTTTGAGATGTCTGAAAACTTCAGGCTGAGGCTGCTGCTTCCTGACTAGGAATAGGAATCAGACGCTTTTCAAATAGAGAAATGCCAGGATGGCAACTTAGCTCAATGTAAGATAAAAATAGCTCCTCTCACTTCAAATCATCTTTTTTTTTTCCCCTTAAGACCTCAACTGCTACAGTAAACATGGTAGTGACAGATGTCAATGACAATGCTCCAGTGTTTGATCCATATCTGCCTAGAAACTTATCTGTGGTGGAGGAGGAAGTCAATGCCTTTGTGGGTCAAGTAAGGGTAAGTGGAATAATTATGTATATATCTTAAATGTGTTTCTAAAAAAATCCATGGTTTCTTACACTTTAATTTTGGAAAAGAGATGAAGCTAATGTAATCTGTTAAATGACTTTGCTGGATACTCTACAAGTTTTTTTTTTTAATCTTATCCTATTCATCTAGATTTAACTTATTAAGCATGTAGATTGCATTTTATGATTGTTGTGTAATTTAACATTGACTAATGTAAGATTATTCTTATTTAATATATTTCTATTTTTTGGACATAAGATATTTTTAGAGAACTGTATAATTATGTTCAGATAGAAATATTCAAAGCATAAAATACATGAATTTACATGTGAATTTACTTGACCATGTAAACAAATATTTAGTATTGATTAAAGGTCCTGTATTTCATACATGTTCTTTGGCCAGCACTCTCAAGACTCACTTCTAGGCTGTTCTCCAGGAAATATAATTTAGATATGAAGGGCCCCTGAGAACTTTGTGTTGGAAATTTGATGTCCAATGTAGCAATGGTTAGAGATGACAATCATTAGACTATGAGATTTGTAACCTCAAGTGTGTATTGGTCCATTGGATGGATTAATTTGAATGGGCCACTAGGTGGTAAATATAGGTGGTGGGGTGTGACTAAAGGAAGAAAATCACTAAGGGTGTGACTTATGCACCTTGGCTTATATTGTCCATGTGTAAGGGTCCCGCGAAACGTCGGAGTAAGAGACCACAAGAGACTGTCTTATGCAAAAGCAGAAGGGTGGGTTTATTTGGAGACCAGCATGCTGGGGCCCGAGCTCTCTATAGCAAAGAGAAATAGAGCCCTGAGAACAGCTTAAGCAGAGCTTATATACTTTCCTTGGAGAGGGCAGGGAGAGAAGTTACATTTTGTAGTTTGACAGTTGGGGACAGCTCATTCTGGGAACAAGATTAGCAGACAGTCCACAGTTGGGGACAGCACATTCTGGGAACAAGATTAGCAGACAGTTCTTAAGATTTCAACAGTGTTTTGTTAAGCATATAGAGAAACGGAGTGACAAGTACCTATTTTATTAACCTTTCACATGGAGCCTTTTGCTTTCTGTCTGTTTCCTGGACAGCCTAAGCTGATCAGCTTTCTTCCTCCATGGCTTTCCACCATGATATTTTGCCTTACCTCCATCTCAGAGCAATAGAATCAGCTGACTATGGACTGAGCCTCTAAGCCATGATTCCAAAATAAAATTTTCATGAAGAGCATATTATGAAGAGATTTTTTAGTGGAGCAAACTATGTGCATCTTGTGCCAGGAATAGAGAGAAAGGAAGAGGCTGAGTTCCTACATTAAGTGTAGTTTTTTCCTATTAGAGCCTCTTTAAAGTTTTGCCACCTCTCAATAGTGCCACGATCAGGACCAATCCTTTACCACATGAACCGTTGGAGGGCATTCATCGAAACCAAACCATTATTGGAGAAAAGAATCCTCCTGTAGGAAAATGTGAGCCACCTGGTTGTCTAAATTCCAGCTTTCAGGGTCCTGCTTATTCCCTGTTCATTCCCTGACTTTTGAATAGGATTATTGGTGCTTTGAAGTAAGCCATTTCTATAATTCAGACCTGGTTTTATATCCAGTCTTCTGCAATAGCAAAGGAGAAATTTTTCTTTAGACTTTCTTGTGTTCTGGGATTTTGTCTATTTTGATCCTATCCCTTATCATATAAAAAATTGGAACTCCACAGTAATTATCATTATCTTTGTCATTATCAAAGCCTGTAGAGATTGTAGAAAACATACATCCTCTTCATTTGTATGCCACCCTAATTCACCACAGGGGAGAATCTGGGTCATTGTGACATTACAATCTCCTTGTGGTTCTTTTGATTTCCTGGCCCTGGAAGGATTTAACTCCACAACCCCATCAGAAGGATCCACTTCCCTTGCCATATCTCTGATGCCAAATGTCTTACCACAAGGAAAAAAAATAGAGACATAAGATTCAGATATATATAATCTTTTTCAGAAATTCAGGTAGCGCTAAAGGAGAGATAAGGGAGATATGCAATAAAAGGAAAAGGAGCAGCATCCAATTACGGGATTACCTTTAAATCAGTTATTACTAAAATAACTAGAATTTGGTATCAAAGGGTATATAAGAAAAGGTATAAACTTGTACATAAGAATTATTTATCCTGACTAGTGATGGAAATGGAAAATTCATACACTAAATCATGAGAGTGCATGGCTGCAGATGCTTGGGGTGAAGTGGCAATGTTTTGGCCTTTCTTCATCACCAGTAAGTAGGCAAATACTGACATAATACTGATAGGAGGAGGCAAATTCTGAGGTATGTTAGGCTACAGATGTTAGCAGGTGAAAGTTGGCTAGAGTATTCGAATGTTCTGAGGATAGCATTGGACACTGAAAATTTTTCCCATACCAAACTAAGAAGGTGACACATTCTTTACTTTTATTTTCTTTCTTATTTTTGGTGCTGGATATTGAACTCAGGAATGCTTAATACTGAGCCACATCCCCAGCCCTTTTATTATATTTTGTTTAGAGACAGGGTCTTGTTAAATTGCTTAGGGCCTCACTAAATTGCATGGCTAGCTTTGAACTCACAATCCTCCTGCCTCAGCCTCCCCAGCTGCAGGAATTAGGCCTGCGTCAGGAAGCCTGGCTCTAAAGTGATAAATTCTTCATTTGGTACATATGCAGAAATCATAGAAAGTGATAAATGCTGAAATTTGTTCATAAAGGATGAATACTGTTAAGAGTGAAGTTGGGAGGGATCGGTTAATATCAAGGCAAAGGTAATTGTGTAAGAAAAAGCAATTGTGTAAGTAAAGGCAAGAGCAATGAGAGCAAACCATATCACAACACATGCTTTATCATAAATATTTCCCTAAGCCACATTATAGAAGATGCTGTGGTTCCCATGAAGAATCTGAGGTATGACAACATAGTTTTCTGAATAGCTTATAGTGGAAGATCCTAAATTTCAAAAGGGTAAAGGTACAAGCATATGAGTCCTGAACTAATCATACTGGTGATTAAATTACATTGTGTTTTTTTTTTATTCTACAATATCATATTTTGAGAACAAATTCTTTTAATTGTATATATCAACTACAGGTATTGAAATAATTTGTGAAAATTGACTTTCTTATTTTCTTAATACTTGGAATTGAGGTAAAACCATATGAAGTATACAATTAAAATGCATGAGTAGACATCAATACAATTATTATTTCTAGTTTAATTTTCATTTTTCTTGTTTCTGCCACTTTTCCTGGTGATTCTTTGTTACTGAAAATTTCCTGCATTAACCTTTCTCCTTCTTGCCTTGTTTTTCAATTTGATAAGAAATAGCTTCTATAATTTATTTTAGTTTTAAAACTTGAAATATGAATGTAAACACTCATAATTTAATACAGTATAGTTGTCCTGTTCATTAGGCAAAAATGTGTTTTCATAAAACTAAAATGATTTCAAAAGTACAAAGGAAGAGAAAAATATGCAAAGTAGCCTACATCCAACTGATTCTGCAGTTTTGGAGAAGTTGTAATGTTCTTGGAATGGAATTTTGATGCATCATAATGGTCTCCTGTTGCTATCTAATGATAATTATATAATACATTAATTTTGCTAAATGATTCATGCTACACTTATAAAATTTAATTTTAATTGTCAACAAAAACTATTAAGACCCACTTAAAGCCAAGTTATGTATGGTTAATTACTCTACTGAATTTGAGTTATTGGTTTGTGTTTATGTTCTAATGATATGTTAATATGAATAATCTAATATTTGTATTCAAAAGCTGAAGGAACTTTTTATCTACTTTTTTAAAGGTAGTGTCATAGTTATTACTACAACCATATTAACAAGAAGTACTTCTGAAGCAATATTTATAGATTATATATAGCAAAAAAAGTGTTGTTCAGCATAGGAAAAAATAGACTACAAACCAGCAAATATAGATCTTACTACACACAGGTATAATATAACACCTTCAGAATTGAAAATCTTATTAATATTGTCAAAGTACTTGTGGTAGCAAGAGAGTATGTGGGAAATGATGTGAGCAGAATCAACCTAATAAACACAGTAATAATATATTGCTTTAAGTGTCAAATGGGTAGTAGTATAAATCATTTCCTAGAAGAACTCAGAGCTGTTACATTGAACTGAGGTGGCCAGGTCAGGATTGATGGGAAAATCATCCCATCATCCCAATTCCTTTTGACCTATTAGTAATATTTTAGGTTTGGAAAAAAGTAAAAGAAAATTAAGATATCAGGCAAAATGAGAAGATATAAGATACAATGAAAATGAAGAGGCATTTAGAAGATACTCAGTCAACAGCCAACAAAAATGGAAGATTTAAAACAATTTGCATCAATGGGTCCTAGTGAAATAGTGATAGATAACAAAATCTGTCATTTTGCTATTTTGTTTTGGATCCTTCACAGTATCTCACAGGAGATAGGGTATGCATGTCCTGACTGGATCACAAGCAAGCCCATGGTTTATATTCAGAAATGGTCCCAGATAAAAGGTGCCTCATACTAGCTACAGTAGCACTTTGATGACCCCACATCCCTCAGTCAACAGATAGCAGCAAAAGACCCTAAATGTTTCTGTGAAGTCATAGGCTGTTAAATCTACAACTTGGACCTTAGGTCCCTTGGAGCTCTGCTAAAAGGACCCGATATTTTCTGCTCTGTGAAATGTACAGCAGAGTACGGTGAAATCTCTGTGATGGGCCATTGAGCCTTCAGATGGATAGACTCGAAAGAAAGCACTCTTCCCCTGTTAGATTCACCAGACTTCTCATTTTACCTCCTGCCCCTTATTATTCCTTATACTTTTGATTAAAATACTGTTGTTTTGATTCATCCTTGCACTAAATCATGTTGTTTTGTGACTCCAGATCCAGCCCCATAATACATAGACCTTGATCAACAGGTATTTAAATCTCAAGCTCTGGAATCATACTGAGTTAGATTAAGTTATC